CGACCTCTTGTGTTGCCTGTGCAGGAAATGCAGTGACAAGATGGAACCGCCTTTGCACGTCTTTTCCGCTTAAGAAAGACAGCCTGAACCGGAAGGAGGACTTGTGCTGATTCTATCTCCTGGACAGATATACAAGAGATCGTCAATAGGAAGGACCTGACACGATTTCGCCAGATCGAGCAAAGCATCCGAAATACCAAAGCTGGTCATCCCCACACGACCCCTTCCACCACTACCCCGAAGCCTGCAGCCATGCTTGATTACACGAACAATGCCCCTGCACAACCCGCTCGATCATATTTCAGTGGGAGCAATCTCAACGGCGGCGGTGCACATGTCGGCCTCGGGCACGCTGTAGGCTATCACGGGGGTTCTCAGATGAGTACGGTTTTCTGAACCCTTCTTCGACCAACAGCTGTATTGATTTTTTTCAGGTCTTCAGTTTAAACCCAGTCCCTTCTACGAGATAAGAAGACCAGTAGGCCCGATCCGCACCTGCGAAGGTAAAAAATTACTTGTTTGTCGCATGACGTATCGACCTTGGCTGACTTTAGTGCTAGCGATGAGCCAGCACAGGAACCTGGTGACTATCAAGATCAGGGCCAGTGAACACGCTGCACTCCAGCAGTGTATCACGGACAAGTCTTTCCGTGTCATGGTTTTCTGCGCTGGCGATAAAAATGGCATTCAAGACATTGCGTTTCCACATCAGTCAGAGGTCAAAGTAAATGGTGGCGAGATCAAGGCAAACCTCCGGGGGCTGAAGAACAAGCCTGGCTCGACACGCCCCGTCGACATTACAGACGCCTTGCGACTGAAACCTAGCAACTATGAGAACAACGTTGAACTGATCTACGCGCTCACGACAAAGGTACTTATGAACTAATTGCGGCTGCGCACGCCGATATAAGATTGCAATCTTGGCTAACAAAATTCCAGCCGTTCTACGTAGCCGTTTACCTATGTAAGACAACGTCGGTGCAAGACCTCGCGGCCAGGATCGAACATGGCAAAAAGATACCCAAAGCCTCTGTCATCTCAGAGAGTAAGTGGTGCTCTGCCTCCACCCCCCTTGCAGCTCACACGGTATGGCTTGCATGTGGCTAACTGATTTAGTCCGCAAAGAAGCAGCCGACACGGATATTGTTACGACGTCGCAAGTCCTGTCATTGAAATGTCCACTGAGCTACATGCGGTTGGCTATCCCTTGCCGTTCCTACGTTTGCAAGCACATTCAGTGCTTTGATGCCACTTCCTATCTTCAATTGCAAGAACAGGGTCCTCAATGGCTGTGTCCCATCTGCAACAAAAGCGCGACTTATGAGAGTCTTGCTATTGACGAGTACGTTTCTCAGCCTGTTGCCAAGATATACCATTAACACCTCTATTCTAGATATGTCAAAGACATTTTGGCCAACACGTCGAAAGATCTGGAGCAAGTGACAATAGAGCCCGATGCGCAGTGGCATGCTCAATCTTCCGTCGATGACCATAACCCGTATAGAGGTAATCAATCGGCAGCTCTCGACGACGATGACGACCTGGAAATCTCCGAGATCAGCATTGTAGGAGGTCGTAAATACGAAACGCCCTCCCGTTCGCTACAGGGGACCGCAACCCCGACAACACGGGATAGTTCGTCGATGCCCCGCGGCCTGTGGTCTGTTAGTGGCAAGAGGCCGGCCCCGCAGGAGATTGTAGACTTGACTCTGGATTCCGATGATGATGATGCGCCTCCTCCTCGAAAGAAGCAACATTTGTCTGTCCCGGAACTTGGAGACTATTGACATGCCGGCGGGAAATCCCTCTTCGGTGTTTGAATTTCAGGAGTGACAATGTTTCAGAATGGAGGGGACGGGCTATCGGTCGTTAAGGAGTCGAAAAGGCATCGTCGACGAGATGTGGGGGGTATCTGCCTTTACAAGGGTAGCGGACGGCATCGGACAAGAAAAACTTGGAGGCGTCAGGAAATGGCTTGGACTTTCACGGTTCGGCACAAGAATCAAAGCGCTGGAGTTTGGGTTTGGCTTACGAGAGACGAATACACTGGTCCCATTTTGAAGGTGTTGCAGGTGCATCATATGTTGCATGCAGGCACGAGGAGGCGATGGTTAGCTGATATAGAGGAACGATAGGTGTCCAGCTGTTCCGATGGTTGAGCTTCAATGGGAACAGACGTAGCATTCAACCAACGCGGCTGCCGCAGAAAAAAATGTCGAAATGGAGTTTCTATGCACGACGCGAATTGCCCTCGAAGATCGGATGTCGTGATCGTCTGTAACTGTTGGACATGAGTGAAACCCGAGAGCCAGATGCACAACCAGGCAAGGTACCCGCACAATCGGCGCACATGCCTCGAGCCAGTCCCCATCCCATGTAAGCCATGTGCCTAAGCTTCGCCAGGGTCTCGCGTCCCGCTCGACATTCTACCTTCTACTTCAATGACCACACAGCTCGACAGCGCGACGACCAAGGACGAATCTCCCTCAACAATGCGCAGGCCTGTCAATACATAATCAAGCAAGCAAGCAAGCAACACAATTCTTCCGGAACGGCACGTGCGACGCAGCGTTTACTCCCCCCCCTTCTTCGCCCATCATGTCTTTCGAAACCGTAATGCCCCCCTTCAACTCGACCGACCCCAACGCCTCCTTCCTGAGCTCTTCCGCCTACGACTTTCTCCTCATTGAGCTCGTTCCCCTCGCATACCGCGTCACGCAGGAGCTCGACAGCGCCGCCACTGCAAACAGCGGCTCTCCAGACCCCGCACCAGCTTCGGCCGACACGGCTTCGGTCAGCCAGCGCGCGGCGTCGAGCGTGACGGGCGGCGGCGGCGGCACGGCGGCGAGCGCAGGCCAGAAGATGGACGAGGATGAGGAGAAGGATGCCGTTTTCTACAGGTTAGAGAAGCTGGGATACCGTGTCGGCCAAGGGCTCGTGGAACGGTACGTTGCTTTGTCTCCTTCCTCGTGGGACTCGCTACCCGTGCTGACTGGGCCTTGGGTGTGTAGCTTTTCGCGCGACAGGCCACGATTCAACGACACGCTCGACGTCATCAAGTTCCTCTGCAAAGACTTGTGGTCACTCGTCTTCAGGAAACAAGTGGATAACCTCAAGACAAATCACAGGGTAAGACCCGTGTTCTTCTCATGTGGCACCTGTCTGGGTTGACGGCTGACCGTGTTGCTGTAATTAGGGTGTCTACGTTTTGACGGACAACAACTTCAGGCCGTTTGCAAGGATGAGCACCGAAGTGGGAGGGCAGGCAGTCTTGCGAGCACAGCCGGTATGGATGAACACGATTTGGGTGATGATGAATTCATTTTACTAATTATGACTGTCCTTTTAGTTCTTATGGTTCCCTTGTGGCATCTTGCGTGGAGCGCTGGCTGCTTTGGGCGTGGATGCGACTGTTCAGGCCGAAACGAACGAGCTCCCCGCCGCCGTCTTTCAGATTAAAACGCTTGCTCCGAAAACGTAGAGCCTCTCGAACCCCGCGCATTACGCACGGCATGCTTGAATTATAGAGGCCCGGGCTACCATGCTTCCTAACAGAACTTCTGAGACCATGAGACCTTACAGCCTAAAATCAAAAATCAAAACAATCAGCAACAGGCTCTCCTTAGGTCGTAACTCTGTCTACCACCGTATTCTTGGCTACAGGTGGGGCAATCCGCACGCTCGCCGAGCCGTCGACAGCTGTGGCGGAGGAAATCCAGGAGGGGAAAATCACTTTTGAGGGGGGCTGTGGGCAAAGTCAACACCCTTCTTGATGTTGCCCTTGAGGCCGGTGACGGCAGCCTCGAGGAGCTTCTTCTCCTTGTCGCTGAGGTCACCAAGGATATCGGTGGCCTTCTCGGCGCCGTTAGGCTGAAGGAAGATGAGTTAGTAGATATTTTTACTTGCATATGGCTCAAGGGATTCTTACGCCGAGTTCGATGGGGACGGAGAAGAAGTCGACGCCGGTCTTCTCAGCGATCTCCTTGCCGCCAGGAACGCCAGGCAGGTAGACGTAGCTCGGCTCAACAAGACCCTTCTCGCCCTTAATGGCCTTCAGAACCTTCTCCGCGAAACTGCGATCTTGTCAGGAAATTGTCGGGTAAGCTTGGGTGGAAAACATCTTACCGGAAACCAGCGTACGCCATGGAGAGGGTGGCAGAGCCCGCACCATCCTTGGCCTTGACGACCTCGTCGCCACCGAACTGGACACGGTTGACGAGAGCGTCGTACTTGTCGTCGGCAATGGAAACGGAGGGAGTGACCTTGCTGAAGAGGGGGACAATGGTCTCGCCAGAGTGGCCGCCGATGACGGGAACGACAAGTTCCTGGGGGTTAGACTTGCCGGAAATCTCGGCGACGAAGGTCTCGGCACGAACGATATCGAGGGTGGTGACACCGAAGAGACGCTGAGGGTTGAAGACGCCCTTGGCCTTGAGGACCTCGGCAGCGATGGGAACAGTCGAGTTGACAGGGTTAGAGATGACGAGGATGAAAGCCTTGGGAGCAACCTCGGCGGCAACCTCGATGAGGCCCTTGACAATACCGGCGTTGATGTTGAAGAGATCGTCACGGGTCATGCCGGGCTTGCCTGCGGAAAGGTGTGGTCAGTATTGGGTCAGTGATGACCAGCGCCAATCTGAAGGATCGCAGAGAAACATACGGGGAACACCGGCAGGGATGACAATAATGTCAGCATCCTTGAAGGCAGCCTTGGCACCGTCCTCCTTGGGGAGGTAGCCGGTAGTCTTCTGTATGAGGGGACGTTGTTAAGCAGGGTTCCGATGAGTGCCTGGACTACGCATTTTGAGGGAGACGTACAGCGATCGAAGAGATGTGAGACAGGTCGGCAGCAACACCTGGAGTGTTGACGACATCGTAAAGGGCAAGCTCGTCAACGAGAGGCGAAAGCTTCAGGAGGAGCGAAAGAGGCTGCAGTCTCGGGTCAGCGGGGTTTGATCGAGGGAGGGGTTATCTGGAGACAGTACGAACCTGTCCAATACCGCCAGCGGCGCCAGCAACAACTTGTGCAAAGTCAGCTACGCAAATGTTTGGAACGCTTCATATTTACGCACCGGCCTTGACCATTTTGTCGTTTTAGGGGTGGGTGTTGATGTTAGTGTCGATTTGTTGAGGTTGTCTAAGGAGAATCACACGTGTTAGCGGGGTAGCTCGATCGGCATGACGAGCTTCAGAGTTCGGAACTGGATGGGGAAGTATGTGTATTTGTGATCATTGATTAACATGCAAGACCGGATAGCTCTGCTCACCTGGTGACAATGTGTCTGAAATCTCAATAGGATGCGAAGAAGGAAGAGTGTAAGGTGTGTTGAGCGCGTCGATAGATGGGTGAGGGAGCTTGTGCAGGGTAGAAGTAGCAGACTGGCGCCATTGCGGGGAAGGGCTCGCGGATGGAGGGGCCCGCCTCACCAGTCTCACGTTGGGGACTTGCGACACTGGAAGGGTCGCTGGACCTGCAAGAACGCAGAGCGGGGTCATGCTCTGAGGGTCAGAGAAACAACCGGCGACGCTCGGCCACTCGTGTCCGGCATGTCACGGGCTCGAGCGACTTCTTTCGTCCGACAGCATTGGTACATCACCAGCCGCCGGCCCTGAGTGAACGTCCGTCGGCTATCAAGATCATACAGTGGCACATGTATGTGACAAGGTCATACCGCCCAGGGCCAGCTCCCGTCCTGTAATGCATGTATGGTGCAGCCGTCTTTCCGTCGACAGCCCCAGTTGACCCCGGCCTTCCGTCATGTCCCGGCCATTGGGTTGGCTTGCTCATGCCGACGGCTTGATCCCGGGATCGATCTCCTTTGTGCCCAGGGCCTGAAGACATCTTCTAGACCCAGACGGGAGTCTTGCAGCCCCCCTGGATTGCTTGCTCATGGCAGATTGCCATGGTGTGCCTGACATCACCCTGTACCTGGGCTCTCTGCAGCCAGTGATCGGTGGGCCAGAGTCACGAACCACGACAAGACACCGGAATGACCCTCTCCCTCGGCAGAACGAGCCAGGACTAACGAAAGGCCGCAACACTCCGAAAGTTTCCTACCTAGGTTCAGGCATATCCGAGGACAAAATCACATGCGTCACCGTTTCGGTCTCACACCTCCCAGTATATTGCCAGTGCAGAACAGCTCATAGTTACATGGCACGCGCACGGCTGTCCAACAATATCGACATGGTCATAGGTAAAGCTATTTTTGACGCAGGTGGGACCGCTTCAGAGGCCGTGCCGAACATTCGATTTTGATTTACATATATACACCGAGACACACACGGTTTAGCGAACCTACGATCCCATGTCCCAAGAAGGGCGCACGGCTGCGAAACCGCAGAATGTGAGGGTTTTATCGTCCAGGCACATGAATCAAAAACAGCCTCACGCAACGAATGTGACCACTGCATGCGATGCTTGCCAGAAGGACTGTCTAGTCATGGCTTGATTTGTTGGCCGTCTCATGAGATACTTTATTTGTTATGTCATCGAACCAACCAATCCTGACCCGCATTCACCTCGAAATAACAGTCATTTATGCCTCGTCGGCGGCGGCGGCCTTCTTGGCCTTCTTGCCGCGGAGCTTCTGCTCGGGGTCGGCCTTGACGGCCTTCTGGGCGTAGCGGAGAGCGCTGACACGCTCGACGGCGGGCTGGCGGAGGTCGCTGCGGTAGCTGCGCTTGGCGGCGAGGTTGGCAACAGCCTTGTAGGTCCTGAGAAGGCATAATCGTTAGCACGCTTGTCTCGGTTGGCCATGCCCGTATAGACAATGGTACTCACTTCCTGGCGGGGGTCTGCTGGCTGAAGCTGGTCACGTTGCGAGCCTCGGCGGGCTTCTGGGCCTTCTTCTCGTTCTTGCTGACGACCTGGACGGCGCCGTTCTCACCAGCCTGGATGCTGATGGACTGTGAGGAACCCATGTTAGCTTGCTGTTCTCGATGCTCGTGAAAAATTCCATGCGCCCATCTTGTCCCCGGGCCGAACGAGAAAATTCGTACCTTGTCGTGGGCGTAGCCGGCGTGCTTCTTGGAGTGAATGTTGGTCAGGTTGTAGGGATCGCGGGAGAAGATCACGCTGTTGCCGAGACCCTTGCGCTTCACGATGAAGGAGTTGTGGGCGCCTGTAGTTTGCGCCGGTCAGCCATTGTAATCCTGCCGTCGCTATGCAACATTCTGTGGTGTGTCGAGACTGGTAACTTACGGGTGAGCTCCCACACGAGGTCCTGGGACACATTCGGCAGTTGGGCGGCCATTTTGACTGAGATATTGCGATCACGAACGGTTTGTTGGATGGCTCTCCCAAATCTGATGCTCGATTTGCTATGGCCGAAATCATGTGTGTGGGTTGGAATCGCTTAGCAAGTCACTTACGGCCTAGCGTGGGCTGACGACCGATAGAGGCCGTTATCCATGCACAGTGAGCACTGTGATCGGCGCTGTACGGGCGAGCCGCATTGGGCGGGTTCGGGCGCATGAAGGGTGCCGTCACGGGCTGGCTTGCGCATGCGTCCAACCTCGACTTCGCCAGCCTGAAGCACAGCCACGTCGCTCGCTGCTGGGCATTAGCAAGCAACACCAACACCACGATCACATTCGACACGAACGTCAGTCACTTGCGGAGTGACATGTGCGGGCATCATTGCTGGAGGTAGCCCTTTTGCCGCTTCAAATCCTCCCTTTCAGACCACGAACCCTTCGCCCCGGCCGACCCGATCGACAGATCACGACATCGCATTGCAATCCCCAATCTCGAATCCACGCCCTCCGAGCAACATGGCGTACATTCTTTTGCCACTTTCTCTTTTCCTCCTCATCACTGTCACAATCCTCTTCTTCACAAGGGCATACTGGAGTCACCACGTTTCCGACCTCCCCATCCCGGGCCGCGAGTACCTCTACTCCCGCCTTCCATCATCCTTTACCGGCGACATTGAGGCCGGTCTCTCGAGCAGTACTTTTGATCTCAGCACCAACGTTGAGGCGGGCGACAGTCGCGCCGGGCTCGACAATGCAAGCAAGAAGGAGATCCTCAAGATTATGAAGAAGCGACGCATGAACTTTGACCAGGCGCGGGGCGTCTACATGCAGAACCGCTTCAAGGCGAACGGCATCGGTCCCGACGGTCGTCCGCTTGATCCCAAGGCCGTGACTTTCAGTTAATGGACGGGCGGCGATTATCACGACTGATCTCCTCAGAAGGAATCTTCAGATGTCAGGGGCTGAGATATGTCAGCCCCACGAACGAACGTGCGAGCAACGAACCAGTGAGCGGTCCCACATCCTGGGCCCAGCAGTAATACGAGTGATGGTCTTCATTGAGAGCGGCTCATCGAGGAGGCTTTCAGCAACTTTGGCGTATTTGTCTTGACAGACCAACTATTTCTCTTTGTCGGGGTGTCTGTGGGGGTTTCCCCACAAGTGCATGCGTACAGGCTTATATGCAGATTTTTAAACATACTCTCCTAGAGCTGTCAAGTCCCATTCTGCTCTTTTACCGTACTCATCAGATCTGTTTAGGTTCGTGATTGTCCTCTGCCATTGAAGCTCGCGGGTTCCGAGCGTGCCGCTGGGAATCGCATGACACTCGGCGTGTACTTACGCACAACAGCATGACTGGCATGAGAAGCTGTTGGCGTGGAACTACAAGTAGAAGTTGTCGCTATGACCGTTCTGTCTGCTTTTCGTTCCCCCGGAAACGGCGTCAAGACACCATTTGTGCTGCAGCACCCTCGATCGGAATCACTTCGTCTTTTTGGCATCTTCTGTGCTGTAGGTGCGATCATCTTCGCCTTCAACCTGTTTTTGAATTGCCTCCATCTCCTCGATTCCAGATCTCCAAGTCGTTTCAGACATCTTCATGTTTTTGTCGAACCAGGCTCCATCCGGCTTGCGGTAGCTTCCTCCCCACCGGTCCCAGAGGGTGGTGAACTGTCCATAATTATAGCTGTATGCGACGTTAACAACTGTGAA